TGCACCCTCTCCAATGCCTTGACATCCTTCCTAAAGTGTGGGGCCCAGAACTGAACACAGTCTCGAGCTGAGGCCTCACCAGTGTTTATAAAGATTCATCATAACTTCCTGACTTTTGTATTCTATGCCCCTATTTATAAAGCCCAGTATCCCGGATACTTTTTTTTAAAACAGCTTTATCTACAGTCCTGCCACCTTCAAAGATTTACTTATGAATCTTATGACCCCCAGGTCTCTCTGCTCCTTCACCCCCTTTAACATTGTACCATCAGCTTATATTGCCTCCTCATTCTTCCTCCCAAAATGCATCACTTGGCATTTCTCCATATTCAACTTCATCTGCCACCTGTCGGCCCATCTTATCAGTCTGTCTATGTCCATTTGGAGTCTGCTCCCTATACCCAGGTCATTTATAGAGATCAAAAGCCAACACTGACCCCGGGGGGACATCACTGTACACTTCCCTCCAGTCAGAAAAACAACCGTTCACTACAACTCTCCACTTTCTGTCTCCCAGTCAGTTCTGTATCCACTGCCACTGTCCCTTTAATACCGGGGGCTTCTACTTTGCTTACAAGTGTCTTATGTGGCACTTTATCAAATGCCTTATAAATTACTTCAAATGCACTACCTTCATCCACCCTCACACTCTGAAAATTTATTTTGTCCCAGATTATAGTCTCTAGAAGTTTCTCTACTACTGACGTTAGTCTGACTGGTCTGTAGTTCCCGGGTTTATCCTTCTGCCCTTTTTGTACAGTGGAGTAACATTTGCAGCCCTCCAGTCCTCTGGCACCACCCCGGTGTCCAAGGAGAATTGAAAGATTATTTCCACGCTTACTTCCCTCAGTAACCTGGGATGCTGCCCGTCTGGACCGGGTGACTTATCTATCCTTGAGCACCGACAACCTGTTTTAGTACCTCCTCTCGGTTTATTCTTATCCAATTTCCCCACCCTCTCTAATACTGTGGCATTGGCTGCATCCTCTTCTTTTGTGAAGACAGATGCAAGTACTCATTCAGTACGTCAGCCACGCCCTCTGCCTCCACAAGATAGGAGATTTGCCAGGATGGTACTCTCACTTATCAGGAGAGGAGAGAGAAGTTGGGATTATTCTTGGAGCAGAGAAGGTTAATAGAAGGTTAAGAGGAGAATAATAGAAGTTTTCAGAATGATGAGGGGATTCGATAGGGTGAACAAGAAGAAATTATTTCCACTGGCGGGTGGGTCGGTAACCCGGGGACACTGATTTAAGATAGTTGTTAAAAGAAACAGAGGGGAGGTGAGGAGAAATGTTTTCACCCAGAGAGTTGTTGGGATCTGGAATGCATTGCCTGGTGGGAACCGATTCGATAACAACTTTTATGAGAGAAACAGATGATAATTTGGTGAGGACAAGTTTGCAGAGCTATAGGGAGAGCACAGGGAAGTGGGATTGATCAGGGCTATGTGTGGGAGAGAGAGCGGGGGAGTGGGGTTGATCAGGGCGATGTGTGGGAGAGAGAGCAGGGGAGTGGGGTTGATCAGGGCTATGGAGAGAGAGAGCGGGGGAGTGGGTTTGATCAGGGCTATGGGGGGAGAGAGTGTGGGGGAGTGGAGTTGATTAGGGCTATGGGGAGAGAGAGAGAGTGGGGGAGTGGAGTTGATCAGGGCTATGGGGAGAAAGTGGGGAGTGGGGTTGATCAGGGCTATGGGGAGGGAGTGGGGTTGATCAGGGCTATGGGGAGAGAGTGGGGAGTGGGGTTGATCAGGGCTATGGGGAGAGAGTGATCACAACCCGTTCACCCCCATCCTCGCCCAGCTCCCCTGGCCCCACATCACTCGGTGAATTCTGGTCCTCACCTTCAAAGCCCTCAATGGCTTTGCTCCTCCCTTTGTGACTTCCTAACCCCCTACCAACCTGCCCACTCCCTCCACTCAGGGGGCTCCGGGGTGCCGGGTCAGTGCCGGTCATGGCGCGGATGTGAGGGAGAAAGGACAGTTCAGGGTCAAACAAGACACCGGTTCCTGACCGGCTCAGTGAGGTCGAGTGTGCAGCCGTGGAGGCTGATGCTGCCAATGCCTGAGGTGCGGAGGTGCTGGCACGAGCCAATCAGGAGGGCCTCGGTCTTGCTGATGTTCAGTTGGAGAAAGTTGTCTCTCGACCCGGATTTGATGTTGGACAGGCAGTCGGTCAGGATATCAGTGGTCCTGGAGTTGAGGGTGGAGGCAGAGAGGGAGAGTTGGGTGTCATCCGCATACATGTGGAAATTTACCCCATGTCTGCGGATGATGTCACCAAGGGGGAGCATGCCTCCACCCTTGACTCCAGGACCCACTGCTGTCCTGACAGACTCTCTATTGGACACCAAGTCCTGGATGAGAATAAACATTCTTCAGTTGAACGTCAACAAGACCGAGGCTCCTGATTGGCTCCCGTCAGCACGTCCTCACCTCAGGCGCTGACAGCATCACCATCCATGGTTGCACACTCCTTGCTAAGCCAGTCCGGAACCTTGGGGTCTTGTTTGAGCCTCAACTATCCTTTCTACCCCACATCTGTGCCACAACCCGCTCTGCCTTCTCCCAACTCCACAATGTCGCCCGGCTCCCCCACTGTCTCACCCCTCAGGCCGCTGAAACCTCCATACACGCATTCTTCATATCAAGGCTCAACTACATAAACTCCCTGCTTGTCGGCCTCCCCAACTCCTCTCTCCATAGGCTGCAGATCAGCCAGAATTCCGCAACCCGTGTCCTCTCCCACACTAGGCTCCATGACCCCATCATCCCCATCCTCGCCCAACTCCACTGGCTTCCAATCACACAGAGGATAGAATTCAAAATCCTCCTCACTTTCAAGATCCTCCATGGCATTGTCCCACCTCTTACCTCTCTGACCTGCTGACCTCCAATCACCCTGTCCACTCCCTCCATTCAGCAGACTCTGGCGTGCTCCAGGTCCCGCACGTGACCTACCTTACCATTGGTGATCGAGCGTTCAGCCTCTCTGACTGCACCTTTTGGAACTCCATCCCACAATCCCTTCGCCTCACTCCCTTTTGCCTCTTTCAACCCACGACTCAAGACTCTCCTTTTTGACCGTGCCATCAGCCCCCCTCCTACCCTCTGCCCTCTCTCATCCCAACTCTGCACCCCCCACACTTGAGTTCTGATCCCCGACTGTTCAGCGCTTTGGGATGTCCTCCCGATGTGAAAGACACTTTACAAATGTAATTTTGTTGTTGTGTTGCATTGCTCACATTGACCCTGTGTGTGTGTGTGTGTGTGTCACTGCTCACATTGACCCTGTGTGTGTGTCACTGCTCACATTGACCCTGTGTGTGTGTGTGTGAGTCTCTGTTCACACTGATCCTGCGTGTGTGTGTGAGTGTGACTGCTCACATTGACCCTGTGTGTGTGTCATTGCTCACATTGACCGTGTGTGTGTGTGTGACTGCTCACATTGACCCTGTGTGTGTGTGTGTGTGTCATTGCTCACATTGATTGTGTGTGTGTGTGTGTGACTGCTCACATTGACCCTGTGTGTGTGTGTGTGTGTGTGTGTGTGTGACTGCTCACATTGACCCTGTGTGTGTGTGTGTGTGACTGCTCACATTGACCCTGTGTGTGTGTGTGTGTGTGTGACTGCTCACATTGACCCTGTGTGTGTGTGTCTCACTGCTCACATTGACCCTGTGTGTGTGGCAGGTTTTCTGACCTACGCGGTGGGGGTTGTTGTGATCAGCCTGATCCTCAGCCTGGTGGTGGGGCCTCGCTACGGCCACAAGAATGTGCTGGTTTACACGGTGATCTGCTCCGGGATTGGCTCTCTCTCTGTTGCCTGTGTCAAGGGGCTGGACATCGCCATCAAGGAGCTGGTGAGGGGCCAAGCGGTGCTGATGGATCCCCTGTTCTGGCTACTGCTCCTGTGTTTGGTGGTGTGTGTCAGCGTTCAGATCAACTACTTAAACAAGGCCCTGGACATCTTCAACACGTCCATTGTCACCCCCGTGTATTACGTGTTATTCACCACGGCCGTCATGACCTGCTCTGCTCTCCTGTTCCGCGAGTGGCACCAGCTGCCCCCGGAGAGTGTGGCCGGCACGCTCAGTGGCTTCCTCACCATCGGCCTCGGCATCTTCCTGCTGCACGCCATCAAAGACATCAGTCTTTCCCCAGATTCCCTGCCGCCCTTCCTCAGGAGACAGCAGGAAACCAGCGGTTTGGTCCGGGGGCTTCTCCAGGATTAGCAACCCCTCCATCCAAGGCAACTGGGGAGGAGAGGACACTGAGGCTGTCACCGGATGGTCAGGGTGAGGAGCGGAGGTGTCCATGTGATTGAAGGCAGCTCAGTGCATGTTACTGTGATCCCAGGGCCTGGGTTGTGTGCGTGTTGACGTGTTTAAAACCATTTTGTTTCAGGGAAGCACATGGCCAGACCTGCCAGGCTCTTTATATTGATTTTATTTTCTCATCATCAAATATTTCTGACCACCATAGCCCAGTGTGACAGCACAGGTGTGGCTGGGAAATGCCGAGCCCCTGACACAGCCTGACCTCACCTGACAGCAGAGGGTGTGACTGCAGGACATAGGAACATAAGAACAGGAGAGTTTATTCAGCCTTTCGAGCCTGTTCTGCCATTTAATTAGATCATGGCTGTTCTCTACCTCAACTAATCCTTTCAATTCCAATTTCTCACTTTCTCCCCATATCCCTAAATCCGCTGACCTACCAACAATCCATCAACCTCAAACTTGAGGGAGTGAGTTACTGAGGGAAGTAAAGGTGGAAATAACGGAGGCTCTGGCTACAATCTTTCAATCCTCCTTGGACACCGAGTGGTGTCAGAGGACTGGAGGGTTGCAATTGTTACTCCCCTGTACAAAAAGGGGCAGAAAGATAAACCCGGGAACTACAGGCCAGTCAGCCCAACGTCAGTATTGGGGAAACTTCTAGAGACTATAATCCGGGACAAAATACATTTTCACTTAGAAAAATATGGGTTAATAAAGGAAAACCAACATGGGTTTGTTAAAAGCAAATTGTGTCTAACAAACCTCATAAGAGTATTTTGATGAAGTAACAGACATCATTTAGGGATGAAGGTAGTGCAAGTGATTTAGTTTATAGAGTTTGATAAAGTGCCGCATAAGAAACTTGTTAGAAACATTGAAGCCGTGGTATTAAATGGGGGACATCCTCCTATACAAATGTAATTTTATTGATGTTAAAGGAAAGTGGCAGCATGGATACAAAATTGGGTTGAAGACCGAAAACGGAGTAGTGGTGAACGGTTGTTTTTCTGACTGGAGGGAAGTGTGCAGCGGTATCCCCCAGGGGTTAGTGTTAGGACCACTGCACTTTTTAATCTGTATAACTGATCTGGACCTGGGTATATAAATCTGTTTAAATCACCTTCACCACCTGCTGCCTCAACCCCCTCCCGACCCAGCTGCTGATCACTTAACTCCCTCTCCTCCCGCACCCACCCCCGGCTGGCTGACCCAGTCAACCAGTCTCTTTCCTCAGGCTCTGTTCCACTCCTCCAGAAAACCACTGTTACCAGCCCCCTTCTCAAAAAACCCACCCTCGATCCCTCTGAGCTCTCACACTACCATCCCATTTCCAACCAGCCCTTCCATGCCAAAGACCTGGAAAGCATTATTGCAGGTCAATTTCGATCACACCTCTCCCTCGTTGAGCCCCTGTAGTCTGGAAACGATGGCCTCTCTATCTGTCCAGGGCTCCCTCTGCCTTCCTTCTGGATCTCTCCGCCACATTTGACACAGTCGATCACTCCATCCTCCTCCATCACCCTCATCCACCTTAGTGGGTCCACACTAGCCTGCTTAACCAACCATCTCCATTTCATCTCGGCATGAGGTTTCTTCCCCCCCGCCCAGTCACCTGCGAGGTACCCCGGGGCTCCATCCTTGGCCATCCTTACCTCATCTATATGCTCCCTCTGGGCGATGTCATCTGCAAACACAGCGTAAACTTCCACATGTATGCAGATGACACACAAATCTACTTTGCCTCCTCCAGCTGCGACTCCAGGTCCGCTGATGTTCTTGTCTGGCAGGGTTTGGATAAGTGCAATCTTTCTACAGCTAAATGTGAACAAGACGGAAGCCATACTCCTTGGCTCCCATCAACATCTTCACTCCTGCGGATCTGAATTCAACTTCCCTGGGCTCTCCCTCACACCGAACCAATGCGCAATCTAGGCATCCAGTTTGATCCAGGACAGTCGTTCCTTCCCCACATCCGGTCCCTGACCAGGACCGCCTTCCTCCACCTCCGACCATACCTTACCTCAAATGCAGCCAAAACCCTCGTGCATGCATTTGTCACCTCCCGCCTGGATTACTCCCAACCCACTCCTCGCCGGTCTCCCCAGCTCCACCATTCACAAGATCAGCTCATACTGACCCCAACCAAACTCCATCCCCACATCTCACCAGCTCTGGCCAAACGGAGCCACTTCAAGATCATCACTTGTGTTCAAATCCCTTCACTCACTGCCACCTCCCGACCTCTCCAACCTCCTCACTCCCCAATCCGCCACCTGGTGCCTCCGCTCAACTCGCACTAGCTCCTGCTCGTCCCTCACACCCTTCCCCACCATTGGAGGTCAATTCAAGATCCTCATCCTCACCTACAAGGTTACAATGAACACTGTTTAGGCCTCAGCTCGAGACTGTTCAGTTCTGGGCCTCACACTTTAGGAAGGATGTTAACGCATTGGAGATTTACCAGAATGGTACCAGGAATGAGGGACTTGAGTTATGTGGAGAGACTAGAGAAGCTGGGATTATTCTCCTTGGAGCAGAGAAGATTAAGGGGAGATCTTATAGAGTTGTTCAAAATTATATAATAATAATAATAATCCTTGCATTTGATATAGCGCTTTTCACGTCGGGAGGACGTCCCAAAGCGCTTCACAGAACACACTGTAAAGTGAATTGACTGTATATTTGTGGGCAAACGCGGCAGCCAATTGCGCACAGCAATGTCCCACAAACAGTTGTGGATTGAAAATGACCAATTTATTATTGGGTTTTTTTGGAGGGATTATTATTAGGCTCTGTGTGGAGTAAGGAAACTTGCCCGAGGTTTCGCCCTCTGCCTGGAATTGAACTCTGGAAGTCTCTCGCTTGCAAAGCGAGTGCTCTAACCACTGAGCTACAGGACTCCACAAATCCAAATCCACAAAAATTATGAGGGGATTTGATAAGAGTGAACAGGGAGAACTGTCCATTTGCATTTGGGTGGTAATCAGAGGACACAGATTTAAGATAGTTGTCAAAAGAACCAGAGAGGAGAGGATAATTTTTTTCACACAGCGAGTTGTTCGGATCTGCAATGAATTGCCTTAAATGTTGATGGAAGCAGATTCGATAACTTTCAAGAGAAGTGGATAGATGTTTGGGGAGGATAAAGCAAGGCTATGGGAAGAGAGTGGGGGGGGGAGGGGGGCGGGTGGGCAGGATTCATTTGGATAGCTTTCAAGAGCCGGCACGGGTAAGATGGGTCGAATGGCCGCCTTCTGTGCCTTTTGATTCAATGAAATACTGTGTCAAGCTCTAGTTCCTTTCTGCACATTGGAATGACAATGTGGAGAAGACATTTATTAATCAAGTTGTGTGTCAGTGTTGGAATGGGTTTGTTATTGACCGTGTGACTCACTGACTACAGGTGTATGTGACTCCGTAATCCTAACCTCAATTTACTATTATTGCTGACGTATTGACAATTTATGTACAACTGTGCTTCAAATCCTGTACAGGTGTGTGACTGACTGTACAGGTGTGTGACTGACTGTACAGGTGTGTGACTGACTGTACAGGTGTGTGACTGACTGTACAGGTGTGTGACTGACTGTACAGGTGTGTGACTGACTGTACAGGTGTGTGACTGACTGTACAGGTGTGTGACTGACTGTGTGCTCACTGGCAGCTGCTCAGCGCTGCTCGACCGCGTCTAAGGCCAGAAATATCAAACCTGTTTGTACTGTTGGGAAACTAAATGCTGTTAATGTGTCACATGAAGAATTTGTACAACACATATTTTGGAATATTTGGCGTTGTATTGTGCTGCTCCTATCCCCGCCCAGCCCCCCTCCCCGCCCCCCTCCCCGCCCAGCACCGAGCCCCGCCCAGCCCCCCTCCCCGCCCAGCACCGAGCCCCGCCCAGCCCCTCTCCCCGCCCAGCCCTGCCCCGCCTACACCCAACACAGCTCCGCCCACACCCAACACTGAGCCCTGCCCACAACCAGCCCCGCATACAGGCCCTGCCCAGCACTGAGCCACACCCAGTAACATCCGCCCAACAGAGAACCTACCACCATCTACAGTAGCCTTGTGACAATTAGTAGGTGTGCGGTGGAGGCCTGGTTACAGCAGTCAGCGACACCCCTCCATAGTGATGATCATTCTCTTTATTTAATGATATATTTGGCTGATCAGCAACAGTTGCCTGTGTCCAGTGTAAGGTGTATCCGCAGTTAATTGGCAGAATGTTTTCCTTTCATCATTAGAGATCCTGCTCAGTCAGTGCATTATGAGCTGCACCGTGAACCTGACCCCTTCCCCAAGTGACCCTACGAACCCCCCCCCCAGTGATCCTCACCTCCTCCCCCCCAGTGAGCGGCCAGAGCTCAGCCCTGGATTTGGACAAAGTTCTGCTCCAAGTTCAGTGACACAGTCTCCTCACTCACACGCTGACACATGACATTGAGACACAAAAACACTTTAACTGAAACTTATGGCTTGATCGTTTCTTCAGGTATTAGGTTCAGGGTGCCACACTTTAAAAACATTAATCATTTAAATGTAAAATCTTCTCTTCGTTCACGTGCCTGTTCAGCAGCTTCCGAATTCTCTGCCCAGGGGGTAGTGGGGGGTTTCTCAATCACTCAGACTCTCGGAGAATGGAGCTTTGTTTTTCTGGGTCTGTTCCAGACGATTCAGAATAAATTGACTGGTATCGATGAATCGCTCAACACAATTCACAAAGCACGCCTCTGTCCTGCTGTCCAGCTTGGGCCCCGGTTTGTCCATACATTTATCCTGTCAATGAAGACGAGTGATTTAACAACACTTTCGACGGCCACAACCAACGTATGCTGAGGCTTGTGAGGAAGGTCAAAGATCACTGAGGGCAGGTGAGGCAGGGCTAGGGAGACATTATATATGAAGACTAGGATCTTAAAGTGGACCAGTTTGGTGGGGGGGTGCAGGACAAGTGGAGCCAAAAGAGTATGGGGGCAAGAGCTCCAAGTGTGCAGGGGGTGCTGTGTGTGTGTAAATGGGCGGGCGGGGGGGGGGGAGTGAGCTATGTGGAGGGAGCTGTAATGTGTGAGGGGGGCCTGCATGGCCGGAGTCTGTGTGTGAAGGGTGCGTGTGGGGGTCTCTGGAGGGGGGCTGTGTATGGGGGATGGCTGTGTGGGGGGGGCTCTGTGTGGGGGGGGGGGCTGTGTGTGGGGGGGGTGGGTGGCGACATTGTGCGCAGGGGGTAACATTTGCAGCCCTCCAGTCCTCTGGCACCACCCCGGTGTCCAAGGAGAATTGAAAGATTATTTCCACGCTTACTTCCCTCAGTAACCTGGGATGCTGCCCGTCTGGACCGGGTGACTTATCTATCCTTGAGCACCGACAACCTGTTTTAGTACCTCCTCTCGGTTTATTCTTATCCAATTTGCCCACCCTCTCTAATACTGTGGCATTGGCTGCATCCTCTTCTTTTGTGAAGACAGATGCAAGTACTCATTCAGTACGTCAGCCACGCCCTCTGCCTCCACAAGATTTCCTCTTTAGTCCCTAATTGGCCCCACCCCACCCTTTTATTCTTTATATGCCTATAATATACCTTCGGGTTCCCTTTTATATTACCTGCTAATCTGTTCTCATACAGTGTCTTTGCCCCACCGCCCCACTTATTTCCTTTTTCAGTTCTCTTCTGTACTTTCTATATTCTATTTGATTATCTTCCATGTTTTGGACCTGACATTTATCATAAGCTTCTTTTTACTGTTTTATTTTAATCCCAATTTTCTTATTCATTCAGGAAGGTTTGGATGCCCCACCTTTCCCCTTTATGGGAATGTATTTGTGCTGTCCCCGAACTAGTCCCCTCCTTGAATGCTTCTCATTGCTCTTTAGCTGTGTTACCTCCCAATCTTTCTTTCCAGTCCACCTTGGTCACTTTTTAACTCACTGAGGTTAACCCTCTTCCAGTTGAGTATTTTCACCTTTGATTGCTCCTTGTCCCTTTCCAGAAGTACTCTAAACCTAATGATTTTGTGATCACTGTTGTCCTGATGCTCTCCTACTGACACCTGCTCCACCTGCCCCACTTCATTCCCCAGAACTAGATCCAGCGCTGCTTCCTTCCTCATTGGGCTGGAAACATACTGATCCAGAAAGTTATCCTGCACACATTTCAGGAATCCTTCCCCCTCCTTGCCCTTTACACTGTTATTTTGCCAGCCTATGTTAGGATAACTGACGTCCCGCATTATCACTACTCTATTGGTTTTGCATCTTTCTGAAATCTGCTGCAGATTTGCTCGTTTATCTCCTTCCCACTATTTGGTGGTCTGTAGTATATACCTAACAGAGTAACAGCTCCTTTTCTGCTCCTTAACTCAAACCAAATAAGATTGTTTTTGGACCCTTTTTGTTTTTTTTGTTTGTGTTTTTTTTTGTTTGTGTTTTTGGCACATCATCCCTTTAATCAGCATTGCCACCCTCTGCTTTTTTCCCTTCCCTATCCCTCCTGATTACATTGGAGCCAGGAATATTTTCACCTCCCATTCCTGCCCTTGTCGGAGCCAAGTCTGTTTTTGCCACTACATCATAACCCATGTGGCAACTTGAGCCGCAGTTCATCAATCTTCTTTGTCACACTTCGTGCATGCACTCCGCTCTGCATTTCTCCCCTGTCTAATCCCATGGGAGAACAGACTAAATCGGTCTTTTTCTGGATTATTCCTGATTAGCTTGCTATTTATCTCTCCCAGCCCTCTATATAACTTGTTTATCCTCACTATTGCTACATCCTGATTCCCTTCCCCCCTCAAAATTAGTTTTAAACGCTTCCCCACAGCACTAGTTAATCTCCCTAAGAGGACATTGGTCCCAGCCCTGTGCAGTGTAACCCATGCAGCTTCTACAGGTCCCACCTGCCCCAGAACTGATGCCCCAGGAACCTGAAGCCCTTCTTTCTGCACCATTTCTCCAGCCATGCATTCATGTGTTAGATCCAGCTGCTTTGATGCTCACTTGCACGAGGCACTGGAAGTAATTCAGAGATCATCACCTTTGAAGTTCTACTCTTTAGCTTTTTCCCCTAGCTTCTGACACTCTCCCTGTAGGATCTGACCTTTTTTCCTTATGTGATGGATCTCAACATAGACAACGACTTCTGGATGTTCCCAGATCCCCTGTAGAACATTTTGTATCCATTCTGTGATGTCTTCAAACCTGGCACTAGGAAGGCAACATACCATGCAAGAGTCACGTCTTTGGTTTCAGAAACGACTGTCTACTCCCTTCACCATTGTGTTCTCCAAAGACAATTGCATTGACAATCTTCCCTGTGTCCCCTGTGCATCCATTTGCTTTTGACTCCCCTCCCCAGAGATGTCATCACTCTGACCACATGCAGTACAGAGAATCGGTTTGTGAGTGCCACACTCTCAGGGGGTTTCTGCACTGCCCGTCCCCTCTTCCTACCATGCCGGGTGGTCACCCCCTCATTCTCCTTCCGAACCCTCTGTGGCTGTGGGGTGATCACCTTCTGAAACATTTAATCCAGAAACCTTGAGCTCCAGCCCGAGCAGCCGGAGGCACTTCCTACACTGGTGTTTGCCCAGGGCACACAAAACATCCTGGAGTCCCACATGGCACACATTGTGCATCTCAGCTGCCCTGCCATATTCCCAGACATGGTTTTTATTATTTTAATACAACTATTATATATTTTTTAATTATGCACCTCTATCACCGTCTGCAGTGAACTGCTAATTGACTTGTTTGCCTACTTACATATAAGGTTGCCTCTACCTCAAAGATTTCCCGCTGTTCTGCTAAATGAAAGAGTTCTCTCTGGTATCCCTCTTGCCGAAGAATTCCCACTTTCACCAAATTCTTTAACAGAATTCTCACTCAGTTCCCTCCTCGCGCTGCGGGGCTCTCTGCTCAAGTAAATTAGAAAATAATATCTCAGGATACAGTGTATGGTTTGGGATATGACAGGTCAAGCGACTGCCCGGATGGTGAAAGGTGAACTGGATGGACTTTGGTCTTTTTTCACCGGCAAATTCTCATGTTGTTTTGAGCGCGCGCGGCCCGGCGAGCGTCCTGGTGCCGGCCTGACCACCCCTGACCCCCCGGCTTGACCCCCCGCCCTGACCCCCCGCCCCTGACCCGCCCTGACCCCCCGGCTTGACCCCCGCCCCTGACCCGCCCTGACCCCCCGGCCTGACCCCCCGCCCCTGACCCGCCCTGACCCCCCGGCCTGACCCCCCACCCCTGACCCGCCCTGACCCCCCGGCTTGACCCCCCGCCCCTGACCCCCGCCCTGACCCCGCCCCTGACCCGCCCTGACCCCCGGCTTGACCCCCCGCGCCTGACCCCCCGCCCCTGACCCCCGCTCTGCCGTCTGAGGATCAGAGTTTACAGGCAGGAGGCCATTCAGCCAGTGGGGGGTCAGGCAGGAAGCAGTGGGTGTGTGAAGCACAGGGGCCCTGAGAGGGGGTGGGCCTCAGGCCTCTGGCCCACCCCCTCTCAGGGCCCCTGTGCTTCACACACCCACTGCTTCCTGCCTGACCCCCCACTGGTCTCCGGCCCCCAGTCACCGCTCCTTCACGCCGGCCCCCGGCCCCCTCCCCCCTCACCCAGCACATCTCGCTCAGGCCGTGCACGAGCTGTTGGAATCGCTGTCTCTGACTCTCGGCCGCGATGAATCGCTGCAGCGCGGGGTCCGCTCCCGCCGCCTCCATTACCGGAACCGGAAACTCGTCACAGCCCGTGTTACCCGGGAAACAGCGGCTTCCGGTCACTGGCACCAACTGCCTCAACAGGTACAACCGCCACAGGGACCCCGGGGGGACCCAGGGGGAGGGGGCAGGGACCCCGGGGGGGGCAGGGACCCCGGGGGGGGGCAGGGACCCCGGGGGGGGGAGGGGGCAGGGACCCCGGGGGGGAGGGCAGGGAGGGGGAGGGACCCCGGGGGGGAGGGGGCAGGGACCCCGGGGGGGGGGAGGGGGCAGGGACCCCGGGGGGGCAGGGACCCGGGGGGGGCAGGGACCCCGGGGGGGGGGCAGGGACCCCGGGGGGGGGCAGGGACCCCGGGGGAGGGGGCAGGGACCCCGGGGGGGGCAGGGACCCCGGGGGAGGGGGCAGGGACCCCGGGGGGGGGGCAGGGACCCGGGGGGGGGGCAGGGACCCCGGGGGGGGGGGCAGGGACCCCGGGGGGGGGGAGGGACCCCGGGGGGGGGGGGCAGGGACCCGGGGGGGGGGCAGGGACCCCGGGGGGGGGGCAGGGACCCCGGGGGGGGGGCAGGGACCCCGGGGGGGGGGGCAGGGACCCCGGGGGGGGGGGCAGGGACCCGGGGGGGGGGGCAGGGACCCCGGGGGGGGGGGCAGGGACCCCGGGGGGGGGCAGGGACCCCGGGGGGGGGGGGCAGGGACCCCGGGGGGGGGCAGGGACCCCGGGGGGGGGGGCAGGGACCCCGGGGGGGGGAGGGGGCAGGGACCCCGGGGGGGGAGGGCTGTGCTCCGGGGATGGGGAACCAGTGGAGCTGAGCGATCAACAACATCGAATGGCATTTGTGCAGTGGCGCTGTGGGAGGGACACAGCTGCAGAGTTCTGAAAATTCAAAAGCTTAGAGAGGGAAGAGGTGGGAGTGTCCGCGGGGGGTGGGCGCTAACCCGGGCCTTGGCCTAAATGCGTCAGGAACAACTTTTACTTGTTAATATTTTTAAAGTTCACTACTTCATAACATCACATAACATCACAGGATGGGTTAGAGACACAGTAAAGCTCCCTGACATCTAGATTCCCCCCCATGGGGGTGAGGGGTAGGGAGGGGATTGGGGGAGAGGGTGGGTGCGAGTAGCGATGGGAGAGCATTGAGTGGGGCAGCTCAGGTGTCCAGCAGATGGGGGTGGGCATGGAGGGGCTCGAGGAGAGACGGCTGTGGGGCACTGGGGATGGTACTCATAGACAAGAGACCCTCCTCGAGCTAAATGAGGGTTTGAAAGAGATTGAGAGAGAGAGTGGGGGGGGGGGACTGGAGAGGAAGGGAGGGGGAAATCGCAACAAAAAAGAAAAATACTTCACCTGGAGCTTTGAAGATCGCACGCACAGAAGTGAAATTACAAAGCGATTTCAGTAATGTCATTGGTCGATTGCAAGACTCACAGACACACACACACTGCTGTTTCCTGCTCACAGGGGCCTGCTCGATCTGCAGACTAATTGTTGTTTAATGAACAGATTTGGAGGCAGAGTGTCAGCTGGAGATGGAGATGTCCGGCCTCAACTGGAAGCCCTTTGTATTCGGTGGCCTGGCCTCAGTCACCGCCGAGTTTGGTAAGTGTTCGACCCTGCGCTCCGTCCACAAGGCTCCTCGCCTTACACTCACACACACATACGCTCACACACATACACACTCACATGCATACACAACAACAACAAGATTACATTTGTATAGCACTTTACACGTCGGGAGGACGTCCCAAGGCGCTGGACAGTGTACAGCATTTCAGACCTGAGCTGGGCTCAGGGGGTGAGAAGGGAGGGGAGGGGAATGGGGGGGACCGATGGCACGGTCGAAGAGGAGGCTCTTGAGGCGGAACTTGAAGGAGGCTAAGGAGGGGGCGAGGCACAGTGACTGCGGGATGGAATTCCAGAGGTTGGGGGCAGAGTGGCTGAAGGCTTTCCTGCCAATGGTGGGGCGGGTGGGTCGGGGGAGTGGAGCAGCCAGAGCGGCTGAGTGGAGGGAACAAACAGGTTGATAGGTGGTTAGGAGGTCGCACAGGTAGGGTGGGGCTAGGCCATGGAGGGCTTTGCAGGTGAGGACCAGGATCTTGAACTGGATCTCCTGAAGGATAGGGAGCCAATGGAATCAACAACAACAAGATTCCATTTATTGAGCGCCTTTCACATCGGGAGGACGTCCCAAGGCGCTGTACAGTTGGGTCAGGACCCGAGCATTGGGGGGAAATGGTCAGGGTGAGGGGAGGGAAGGGAGGGGGCGAGGTGGGGGGAGATGGTCAGGGTGAGGGGAGGGAGCGAGGAGGGAGTAGAGAGTCGAGAGCGGAGCTGAAGGCTGAAGGTCAAAGTGAAAGGTCTTGAGACCGGCCTTGAAGGAGGAAAGGGAGGAAGCGGCGAAGGCACTGGGGATAGAGTTCCAGCGCCTCGGGACTGAGAGGCTGAAGGCCCGGCCACCGATGGTAGGGTGGTTGGGGCGGGGGATGTGGAGCAGACCGGAGCCAGAGGAACGGAGGGTACGGACAGGTACGTAGGGGGGGATAGTAGGTCAGAGAGGTAGGAGGGAGCGGTCTTGTAGGTGAGGATGAGGATCTTGAATTCGAGCGAGAGGGGGGGAGATGGGGTCACGGAGTTTGGTGCGGGAGAGGACACGGTCTGCAGAGTTCTGGATTATCTGCAGCTGTGGAGGGAGGAGTTGAGAAGGCCGACAAACAGGGCATTTGCATGGTTGAGCCTGGAGGTGATGAAGACATGAACAAGAGTTTCAGCGCCTGAGGGGTGAGGGAGTGGTGGAGTCGGACGATGTTACAGAGGTGAGGGAAGGCAGAGCAGGTCATGGCTTGAATGTGGGGGAGAAAAGACAGTTGAGGGTCGAACAAGACACCCAGGTTCCTGACTGGCTGGTGAGTTGAAGTGTGCAACCATGGAGGTTGATGCTGCCAGAGCCTGAGGTGTGGAGGCGCTGGCGCGAGCCAATCAGGAGGGCCTCAGTCTTGTTCACATTCAACTGTAATTTGCCCTCATCCAGGACTTGATGTCCGACAGACAGTCTGTCAGGACAGCAGTGGTCCTGGAGTTGAGGGTGGAGGCAGAATATACTCATACACACACACACTCACACACATACATACCTTGTATCTTGCCCCCCGAACGGGAGAGGCAGTTTGGGTGTGCATATGGGGAGGGACAGGGTGTAGATGGTGGGCTCGCCCCCCTGCTGGCCCAGTCCCACCCCATGTGAGCTGTGACCCACTTGTTGTCTGGGGGCTAATGATCTGGGCCAATAGAAAATGTTTCAGAGGAATCCGCTATAAACAGCGCCTCCACCATAAACCCACTAAACAATGACGTTTCAGGCCCTGCATGACTGCCGGCTGTATACCTGAGGTCACTGTGGACAGGGCAGCTCCAGAGACGTGTGCGTGGGTGACACCAGAGGGAAATGGGCTTCACTCCACTCGGAGGCCCCGTGTGTGTCTGTTTGTGAGTGTCTCTAGCGGGACAGCACTTGCATGGTTCGAGTCCTACTTAATTAACCGCCTCCATTTCACCTCGGCAAATGGTTTCTCTCCCGCCCCCGTTCAGTCACCTGGGGGGTATCCCAGGGCTCCATCCTTGGCCCTCTTATTTTCCTTACCTATATGCTCCCTCTTGGCGATGACATCCGCAGACACCAGGTAAACTTCCACATCATAAAACCATAGAATTATAGAATTGTCCAGCACAGAAGGAGGCCATTCGGCCCATCATGTCTGACTTGTCATTGAAAAGAGCTATCCAATTCAATCCCACTCCCCGCTCTCTCCCATAGCTCTGCAAACTTGTCCTCGCCAAATTATCTGCTTCTCTTCTAAATGTTGTTACCAAATCGGCTTCCACCAGCTTTTCAGGAAATACATTCCAGATCCCAACAATTCGCTGTGTAAAACAAAGTCTCCTCACCTCCCCTCTGTTTCTTTTAACAAGTATTTTGAATCGGTGACTTCGGTTACCAACCCACCTGCCAGTGGGAATAGCTTCTTCTTTTTCAACCTGTCAAATCCTCTCATAATTTTGAAAACTTCTATTAAGTCTCCGCTTAGGAGAATAATCCCAGCCTCTCTCGCCTCTCCTGATAACTGAAGTCCCTCATTCCTGGTACCATCCTGGTCAATCTCCTTTGCACCCTCTCCAATGCCTTGACATCCTTCCTAAAGTGTGGGGCCCAGAACTCTCGCTGAGGCCTAACCAGTGTTTTATATAAAGGTTTATCATAACTTTCCGACTTTTGTATTCTATGCATATTTATAAAGCCTAGAAACCCTTATGTTTTTTAACAGCTTTATCTCCCTGTCCTGACACCTTCAAACATTTACTATATGACCCCCAGGTCTCTCTGTTCCTTCACCCCCTTTAAGATTGTACCATCAGTGTATATTGCCTCTCCTCATTCTTCCTTCCAAATTGCATCACTTTGCATTTCTCCACATTAAACTTCATCTGCCACCTGTCTGCCCATGTTACCAGTCTGTCTATGTTCATTTGCAGTCTGTTACTATCCTCATCATTTACTACTTTTCCAGCTTAGTATCATCTGGAAATTTGGGAATTGTCCTCCCTGTACCCAAGTCCAGGTCATTTTATATAGATCAAAAACAGCAGTGGCCCCAATACTGATCCCTGGGGGTCACTACCGCACACTTCCCTCCGGTCAGAAAATCAACCGTTCACTACAACTCTCTGCTTTCTGTCTCCCAGGCAGTTCTGTATCCGCTGCCACTGTCCCTTTAATACCGGGGGCTTCTATTTTGCTGACAAGTCTCTTATGTGGCACTTTATTAAACACCTTTTGAAAATCCATATAAACTAAATCAGCTGCACTACCTTCATCCGCCCTCTCCATTACTTCTTAATACACTATTAGGTTTATTAGACATGATTTGCTTTTAACAAATCCATGTTGACTGTCCTTTTTTTCTAAGTACAAATAATTTTGTCCCAGATTATAGTCTCTAGAAGTTTCCCCACAACTGGCGTTACGCTGACTGCCCTGTAGTTCCCAGATTTATCCTGTTACACCCCTTTTTGTACAGGGGAGTAACATTTGCATGGTGGGGGGCTGTGTGTGGGGGGGCTGTGTGAGGGGGGGCTGTATATGGGGAGGGCTATGTATGGGGGGCTGTGTGAGGGGGTGCTGTGTGGGGGGGGTCTGTGTGTGGGGGGGACTCTGTGTGGGGGGGGGGGCTCTGTGTGGGGGGGGCTGTGTGTGGGGGGGGTGGGTGGCGACATTGTGCGCAGGGGGTAACATTTGCAGCCCTCCAGTCCTCTGGCACCACCCGGTGTCCAAGGAGAATTGAAAGATTATTTCCACGCTTACTTCCCTCAGTAACCTGGGATGCTGCCCGTCTGGACCGGGTGACTTATCTATCCTTGAGCACCGACAACCTGTTTTAGTACCTCCTCTCGGTTTATTCTTATCCAATTTCCCCACCCTCTCTAATACTGTGGCATTGGCTGCATCCTCTTCTTTTGTGAAGACAGATGCAAGTACTCATTCAGTACGTCAGCCACGCCCTCTGCCTCCACAAGATTTCCTCTTTAGTCCCTAATTGGCTCCACCCCACCCTTTTATTCTTTATATGCCTATAATATACCTTCGGGTTCCCTTTTATATTACCTGCTAATCTGTTCTCATACAGTGTCTTTGCCCCACCGCCCCACTTATTTCCTTTTTCAGTTCTCTTCTGTACTTTCTATATTCTATTTGATTATCTTCCATGTTTTGGTCCTGACATTTATAAGCTTCCTTTTTCTGTTTCATAGATTTATAGATTTTATAGAATGTTACGGCACAGAAGGAGGCCATTCGGCCCATCGAGTCTGTGCGGCTCTTTGACAGAACTCTAACCCCAATCAGCTTTCTCCCCATAACCCTGCAAACCCGTCTTCCCCAGATACCTATCCAGTTCTCTCCTAAAAGCTGTTATCGAATTGGACTTCACTGCCCTTTCAGGCAAATCATTCCAAATTCAAACAACTCGCTGAGTGAAAAAATTTCTTCTAACCTCCCCTTTGCTTCTTTTGGTAGATATCTTAATTGTAATTGTAAATTGTAAATAGCTGAGGCCTGAGCACTGATCCTTGTGGCACTCCACTAGTCACCTCCTGCCAATTCGAGAATGACCCATTTATCCCTATTCTCTGTTTTCTACCCGTTAGCCACTCTTCAATCCATGTTAATATGTTCCCATTAATCCCGTGGGCCTTAACCTTGTGCAATAGCCTTTTGTGTGGCACTTTGTCAAATGCCTTTTTAAAATCTAAATATACTACATCTACTGGTTCCCCCCTATCTAACCTGCAGATACATCTCCAAAAAACTCTAAAGGATTAGTGAAGCATGACTTCCCTTTTGTAAAGCCATGTTGACTCTGCCTAATCTTGTTATGGTCTTCCAGGAATCCCATAAGGATATCCTTAATTAAGGACTCAAGAATTTTCCCTCCCACTGAAGTCAGACTAATTGGTCTATAGGTCCCCATCTTTTCTCTCCCACTCTTCTTAAATGGTGGTGTCACGTTTGCAATCTTCCAATCAATGGGAACCGTTCCAGAATCCAGAGAATTTTGGAAGATAATAATAATAATAATAATAATAATAATCCTTGCATTTGATATAGCGCTTTTCACGTCGGGAGGACGTCCCAAAGCGCTTCACAGAATAGACTGTAAAGTGAATTGACTGTATATTTGTGGGCGAACGCGGCAGCCAATTGCGCACAGCAATGTCCCACAAACAGTCGTAGATTGAAAATGACCAATTTATCATTGTTTTTTTTGTTTTGGAGGGATTATTATTAGGCTCTGTGTGGAGTAAGGAAACTTGCCCAAGGTTTCGCCCTCTGCCTGGAATTGAACTCAGGTCTCTCACTTGCAAAGCGAGTGCTCTAACCACTGAGCTACAGGACTCCACGATCAAAGACAAGCCATCCGCTATCTCAGTAGCCACCTCTTTTAAAACCCTCGGATGTAGGCCATCAGGTCCAGAGGATTTATCAGTTTTAAGACCTGACAATTTACCTAAAACCATTTCTTTACTAATATTAATTCCCCCAAGTTGCTCGCTAACATTGTCTTCTTGGTTCCCCTCTAGTCTTGGTAGGTTTTCCGTGTCTTCTAAGTACTTGTTTGATGACTCTGCCATGTCTTTGTCCCCTACTATAATTCCCCCTGTCTCTGCCTGTAGCGGACCTACATTTACCTTTGACAGCCTCTTCCTCTTTATATATTTATAAAAACTCTTACAGTCTGTCTTTATGTTCTTCGTTAGTTTGCCCTCATATTCCATTTTCTGCCTCTTAATCACTTTTTTGGTTCTCCTTTGTTGATCCCTAAAGTTCTCCCAATCCTTGGGTTTACTACTCATCTTCGCTGTTTTATAGGCTTCTTCCTTTAACTTTATACTTTCCCTATCTGCTCTAGTTAGCCACGGTTGGACCACTTTTCCCGTGGCATTCTTATTCCTCAAAGGAATACGTGCTCGCTGGAAATTTTGCACTATCTCCTTAAACGTCTGCCATTGCTGGTCTACTGTCAAATCCAATTGTGATGGATCCCAACATAGACAACGACTTCTGGATGTTCCCAGAAGATCCCCTGTAGAATGTTTTGCATCTGTTCCATGATGTCTTCAACCCTGGCATCAGGAAGGCAACATACCATGCGAGAGTCACATCTTTAGTTGCAGAACAGCCTATCTACTCCCTTCACCATTGTGTTCTCCAAAGACAATTGCATTGACAATCTTCCCTGTGTCCCCTGTGCATCCATTTGCTTTTAATAATAATCCTTGCATTTGATATAGCGCTTTTCACGTCGGGAGGACGTCCCAAAGCGCTTCACAGAACACACTGTAAAGTGAATTGACTGTATATTTGTGGGCGAACGCGGCAGCCAATTGCGCACAGCAATGTCCCACAAACAGTCGTAGATTGAAAATGACCAATTTTATTATTGTTTTTGGTTTTGGAGGGATTATTATTAGGAGTGTGGAGTGAGGAAACTTGCCCAAGGTTTCCCACTGCCTGGAATTGAACTCAGGTCTCTCACTTGCAAAGCGAGTGCTCTAACCACTGAGCTACAGGACTCCACAATGTTAAATGTTGTTAAGTGGCAAAAAGCAACATTCAGACTTTAGATACCATCAAGTCACTGCATTTGATAGTAATTACCGTCCGGCTCCAAAAAAAGGCTAGTTCTTTGCCCCCCCAAATTTCAGATTGCCATATATAATTTCAGACTAATCAAAACCTTCCAGATACTCCCAATAATATTCCATCGGCACTGCCACTAGGAAAGCAATTTCCAGTTAATTGCATCCCTAGTAATATAATGTACAACTGAATGTTTTTAATACATGAACGTTAAAAAAATCTACAATTTCTGCAAAATATGTTTGGAGTGGGGTAAGAAAGACCTTAATTCAGAACATGGTAATCGAGTAATGCTTTAAAGATGTTGTTATATGTAGAACTATAATCAACTAAATAGGAAGAATCAAGCTCAGGAGATGCAAGGCTCTTAAAATGAACAACAAAACGAATTAGAAATTAACATCACCAGGACATGTTTACCTTGGTGTGTTATGACAAGCCACCTTATCATGCAGCTAGGACACATTTGCCCTCAGCACATTTGTGTGTGTGTATGAGGAGGGGGGGGGGGGGAGAGAAGAGAGGAGGAAGACAAAGAAAAAGATTGCTCAGGACTTGTATCCAAAGATGTCATAGGGGCAAATACAAGTGTTGGAGATGTGGTAGAACACTGCTGTGAACAATTGGCTGCCGCGTCTCACCTACAAAACATAAGACAATTCACTTTACAATATATTCTGTGAAGCGCTCTGAGACATCTAGAAGACATGGGGCAAGATCAAATGCTTATACTAATATGCAACACTCACTGTCACCCCCAAACTGGACAGTTTCCATAAAGATGGATAGCATGCAACAGTTTAGCAAACATTAGTCTGAAACTGGGCAACCCTTTCAAGGGCTTTTCTCACAGCTTACAAAATACTAATGCACATTGTCAGAAGTGTAACAGGTCTGTTTATTCCACTTTTCAGAAAAATATTTGTTTTCCAACAGTGTTGCACCCCGGATATGTAAAAATCTCAGGAACTAAAAAACCTCAAGTCTGTACATAGTTGATGCTGGTTATAGCATCCCCCAGTCTACCACCCTTAAAATGTAGAAATGACAGGATATAAGATTGTGTGGCACTTGAAATAACTGCAGGTAATAAAGACAATGCTAAATCCCAATTTGTGATTACAATGTTTCCTTACAAGTGGAACATTTAAAGTCTCAGGAAGGCTGCGCTCAAACTAACATGAAAATAGCAAGGTTCCCTTTATATATATGAGGGTCATGTGGCTCACACCAAAAACAAGCCTTTTTTCTTTACATCTAAACCCCACACCTTGCTTTTGTAGATAGCAAGTGGTAAAGAAATGAAATTTATTTTCACAAAGAAAATGGGGCTGCTCACTACAGTGGAGTGAGTTATTGGGACATGCATCAACTTTTGACTCCCCTCCCCAGAGATGTCATCACTCTGACCACATGCAGTACAGAGAATCGGTTTGTGAGTGCCACACTCTCAGGGGGTTTCTGCACTGCCCGTCCCCTCTTCCTACCATGCCGGGTGGTCACCCCCTCATTCTCCTTCCGAACCCTCTGTGGCTGTGGGGTGATCACCTTCTGAAACATTTAATCCAGAAACCTTGAGCTCCAGCCCGAGCAGCCGGAGGCACTTCCTACACTGGTGTTTGCCCAGGGCACACAAAACATCCTGGAGTCCCACATGGCACACATTGTGCATCTCAGCTGCCCTGCCATATTCCCAGACATGGTTTTTATTATTTTAATACAACTATTATGTATTTTGTAATTGTGCACCACTTTCCCCTCTTGCACTGAATTCCCACTCTCACCAAATTCTTTAACAGAATTCTCATTCTGTTCCACCTCACTCAGTTCAGTCCTCACGCTGGTGGGCTGTACAGCAATAGCACCAATCAATCAACTGCAATTTGGGGCAAACATCTCCGCACTTTTCTATTAGCTGTGGGGATGACAAATACTTTGCCCTGTGCTGCAGGGACCTTCCCCGTGGACCTGACCAAGACACGGCTGCAGATGCAGGGACAGTCCAGCGACGCCCGCTACAGGGAGATTAAATACCGCGGAATGTTTCACGCCTTACTGCGCATCGGGCGAGAGGAGGGAATCAGAGCTCTTTACTCTGGGTAAGGCACTCCCAGCCTGGTCTGTGGGTGTGTGTGTGTGTGTGGTGCTGTGGGGGGGCGCTGCGTGGAGAGTGCTGCATGGGGGGTAGGGCGTTTCGTGGGATTGGGGGATGCATTGTGGTCGGTGCTGCGCGTGGGGTGGGGGGGGAGGCTGTGTAGGGGGTCTGTGTGGGGGTGGCGGGCTGTGTGTGTGTGGGGGGGGGCCTGTGTGTGGGGGGGGGGCCTATGTATGTGGTGGGGGCTGTGTGTATGGGTGAGAGTTGTGTATATGTGGGTCGGGCTGTGTGTCTGGGGGGTGCCCTGTGTGGGGGATGCTGTGTGTGTGTGATTGGGTGGGGGAGCTGTGTCCGTGAGGGGGGGGCTGTGTGTTAGAGGGGGTGGCTGTGTCTGCTTGAGGGGGTTTAGCACACACAGCACCCACCCCCCATCACACACACAGACCCCAGTCAAAAACACAGCTCCCCACCACACAAACAGGCCCCCAACAAACAGTCTCCCACACCTACAGCCCCAGCCCCCCACACACACGCAGCAACCCCCCCCACACGCAGCAACCCCCCCACACGCAGCAACCCCCCACACGCAGCAACCCCCCCACACGCAGCAACCCCCCCACACGCAGCAAACCCCCCACACGCAGCAAACCCCCACACGCAGCAAACCCCCCCACACGCAGCAAACCCCCCCCACACGCAGCAAACCCCCCCCCACACGCAGCAAAACCCCCCCACACGCAGCAAACCCCCTCCCACACGCAGCAAAACCCCCCCACACGCAGCAAACCCCCCCCCAACACGCAGCAACCCCCCACCACAGCCCCCCCCACACACTGCCCTGCCCCACACACTGCCCTGCCCCCACACACAGCCCCGCCCCCACACACAGCCCCGCCCCCACACACAGCCCGCCCCCAGACACAGCCCCGCCCCCACACACAGCCCACCCCACACACACAACCCCATCAACACAATCCCCCCCACACACACCGCCCACGCACACCGCCTCCCCCACGCACACTGCCCCCCCATACACAGCCCCCGCACACAGCCCCCCTCGCACACAGCCCCCCCTCCCCGCACACAGCCCCCCTCCCCGCACACAGCCCCCCACACACTCACAGCCCCCATCCACACTGTGTGTGTGGGAGAGGGTGGCTGTGTGTGTGGAGAGTGTTGTGTATGGGGAGGGGCTGTGTGTGGGGGCGGCGCTGTTTGTGTGGAGGGTGTGGGGTGTGGGGGTGCCTGTGTGTGTGTGGGTGGCTGTGTGTGAGGGAGTCGCTGTGGGAGCGGGTGGCTGTGTTTGGGAGAGGGGGGGTGTGGGGTGTGTGTGTGGAGGGAGCTGTGTATGGGAGGAGGTGTGGGGTGCGTGTGTGTGTGTGGAGCTGTGTGTGTCTAGGGGGCTGTGTGTGTGTGTGTAGGGGATGTGTGTGTAAGGAGCTGTGTGTGTGGAGTTGGCTGTGTGGGGTGTTGTGTGTGGTGGGTGCTGTGTGTGTGACGGGGGGCTGTGTGTGTGACGGGGGCTGTGTGTGTGACGGGGGCTGTGTGTGTGTGATGGGGGCTGTGTGTGTGTGACGCGGGCTGTGTGTGTGTGACGGGGGCTGTGTGTGTGACGGGGGCTGTGTGTGACGGGGGCTGTGTGTGTGTGACGGGGGCTGTGTGTGTGTGACGGGCTGTGTGTGTGTGACGGGCTGTGTGTGTGTGACGGGCTGTGTGTGTGTGTGACGGGCTGTGTGTGTGTGACGGGCTGTGTGTGTGTGATGGGGGCTGTGTGTGTGTGATGGAGGGCTATTTGCGCATGTGATGGGGGTCTGTGTGTGTGAGACTGGGGGCTGTGCGTGACGGCTGGGGGCTGTGTGCGTGATGGGGGTGCTGTGTGTGTGGAGGGTGGGGGGAGGCTGTAGTGGGGTATTGAGCTGCTGCAGTTCCTCCTCTCCCCAGGATCAGCCCTGCGTTGCTGCGCCAGGCCTCCTATGGCACCATAAAGATCGGTGTTTATCACAGTCTCAAGGGGCTAATTGTGGAGCATCCGCAAGGTTTGTTACTGCCCCCTGCCCAGCCCTGCCCAGCCCTGCCCTGCCCAGCCCTGCCCAGCCCTGCCCAGCCCTGCCCTGCCCTGCCCAGCCCTGCCCAGCCCTGCCCAGCCCTGCCCTGCCCAGCCCTGCCCAGCCCTGCCCAGCCCTGCCCTGCCCAGCCCTGCCCTGCCCAGCCCTGCCCTGCCCAGCCCTGCCCAGCCCTGCCCTGCCCAGCCCTGCCCAGCCCTGCCCTGCCCTGCCAGCCTGCCCAGCCCTGCCCAGCCCTGCCCTGCCCAGCCCTGCCCAGCCCTGCCCAGCCCTGCCCAGCCCTGCCCAGCCCTGCCCTGCCCAGCCCTGCCCTGCCCTGCCCTGCCCTGCCCAGCCCTGCCCTGCCCTGCCCTGCCCAGCCCTGCCCTGCCCTGCCCAGCCCTGCCCTTCTCCTTACTGTTCTTCTTAACACTTGTGACTGAAGCCCTCCCCCCCATCTGCATTTATGTAGCACTTTTCAAGTCTTCCTCGACGTCTCAAAGCGCTTCACAGAATATGCTGTAAAGTGAATTCACTGTATATTTTGTGGGCGAAACGTGACGGCCAATTGTGCACAGCAGTGAGTACCACAAACAGTCGTGGATTGAAGTGACCAAATTATTATTTTTTTTTAAGAATTATTATCCCTGGAAAAGTGATCCACCGATTGACTAACAACTGGGTTCCTACTTACTTACTGCGGTGTCACTAACACAGTGACACGCCAGTCACACTGACACAGTGACACGCCAGTCACACTGACACAGTGACGCGCCTGTCACACTGACACAGTGACACGCCAGTCACACTGACACAGTGACGCGCCTGTCACACTGACACAGTGACGCGCCAGTCACACTGACACAGTGACACGCCAGTCACACTGACACAGTGACACGCCAGTCACACTGACACAGTGACGCGCCTGTCACACTGACACAGTGACGCGCCAGTCACACTGACACAGTGACACGCCAGTCACACTGACACAGTGACACGCCAGTCACACTGACACAGTGACGCGCCAGTCACACTGACACAGTGACGCGCCAGTCACACTGACACAGTGACACGCCAGTCACACTGACACAGTGACGCGCCAGTCACACTGACACAGTGACGCGCCAGTGACACAGTCATGCTAACAACAAAAGAACAACAACTTGCACTTATGTAGGGCCCTCCACGCATGGTAGAGTCTCAGAGCGCTTAACAGTGGCGGAGCCTGACTCCAAGTCGGGGGGAGGGGGCAGGTGGCCATAAGCACGGTCAAACAGGAAATTCTTCAGGCGGGACTTGAAAGAGGGGAGAGAGGGGACAAGGCGGAGGGTTTGAGGGAGAGTGTTTCAGAGTTTTGGGGCGTAGTGGATGAAAGCATGACCTCCAATAGTGGGGCAGAGGGTGCGAGGGATGATATCACACTATCACTATCACACTTTATGGTCGGCCAAGCAAATCAATGTTTCTTTGCTAAATGTTTCCTCATTAATGGCTGTTCCGGGGGCTGGAGCTGCTGGGGCTTTGGTGAGCACTGGCTGGTTCCGGTGCAGCGTTTGGCCTCTTATGATTGACTGGATGTAGGCTCCCCAGTGTGTGCTGGAGACCCCAGTGTGTGCTGACGTCCCCCAGTGAGCTGGAGACCCCAGTGTGTGCTGGATAGCAAGCACCTCCCCTCCAGCAGTGGCCCAACCTACCATCACACTGAAACTAACACATCAACTGCTTCACTGCAGGAATTGGTAACTCAATGCCCCAGAATATAGTGATGAGGAATCAATTGGGGTGTTTGAAAGGGAGATGTTGAAAGGGAGATGGCTACTGAGGAGGTCAGATGTCCCGGCGGGATGTGAAGAAAAACAGTGAAAGAGGATCATTCTTGTGTTCAAATCCATTCACTCCCTGGCACCTCCCTACCTCTTTAACCTCCTCACTCCCCAATCTACCATCCGGAGCCTCTGCTCGACTGGCACTGGCTCCTGCTCAGCCCTCGCACCCTCCGCCCCACCATTGGAGGTTGCGCTTTCAGCCACTGTGCCCCAAACTCTGAAACACTCTTCCCTCAATCCCTCTGCCTTGTCCTCTCTCAGGCTCCGCCACCGTTAAGAGCTCTGAGATTCTACCCTGTGTGGACAGTGCTATTTAAGTGTAAGCTGTTGTAAAATGTAACATTTCTGCTATGATCTAAATACTGGCAGAGTGCAGAGTGAATACCCCCTGTTACTACTTTGCTATATGAAAGCGAGCAGAAGAATGGGGTTAGAGTAGCGAGCTCCAGTGGGTGGGTGAGTGAGCTTCAGCACAGACACCATGGCCCAAATTGCGATGAGTTCTAATTAAAGTTTTCCTGTTGTGTTTAATTTTCTAACTGTCTTATTAAGCGAATCTTGGAGGGCATTGGAAGTGATGATTTTATAACATTTTCAAGATTGAGGTCAGCATTATAGTCTTCTGCTTGTCAGATTTGTGCAATCTGAGAACTGTGACAAGACGCTGTGTTTCACAAAATGATAAGCTTTCTGCTGTTCTGCTGTTGTGGGAACGGAGCTATCACTGACTCTAACATTTTCCTGACAGACGAGACCCTCCTGGTGAACGTGGTTTGTGGCATCCTTGCGGGCGTCGTTTCCTCCTCCATCGCCAACCCTACCGATGTGTTAAAGGTAAGGATTAGGATTGTGCCTGGAGCAGTAGCTGCGGTGGCAAGTGTGGCAGGGAATTGTGCCCCCACACACAACAACAAATTACATTTTCATGGTTGCCGTTCACATCAGAAGGATGTCCAAAGGTGCTGGACGGTCAGGGATTTAGACCCGAGCTGGGGGTTGGGATTGGGGAGAGTGGAGGGTGGGAAGGGTAGGAAGATGGCTGAATGTACAATCAAAGAGGGGGGGTCTTGAGATGTGCTTTGAAGAAGGCAAGGGAGGGAGTGAGGCGAAGGGAATCTGGGATGGAGTTCATTAGGGTGAGGCAGAGTAGCTGAAGGTCCGACCACTGATGGTGAGGGACATGGAGCAGGCTACAGCCTGCTGAGTGGTGGGAGCGGACAAGTTGATACGCAGTCAGCAGGTCACAGAGGTAGGTAATTGACTATATTCATGGGAAAAAAATGGCAGCCAATTGCGCACAGCAGTGTCAACAGCACAGTCGTGGATTGAAGTGACCAATTGTTCTTCTTGAGGGATTATTATCAGGAGTGTGGAGTAAGGAAACTTGCCCAAGGTTTCACCTTGCGGGGAATTGAACCCAGGTCTCTTTGCTTGCAAGGCGAGTGCTCCAACCACTGAGCTATAGGACTCCACTTGAGGGTTGAGGGTTTGAGCAGCCTGAGGGGTGAGGCAGTGGCGGAGCCGGGTGATGTGGAGGTGGGGGAAAGGCAGAGTGGGTCATTGGCACGGATGTGGGGTAGTTGAGGGTCAAACAAGATGCCGAATGGGCCTGTGACGAGCTGTTCTGATTGCCCCCAGATCCGTATGCAGGCGCAGGGCAGCCTGATCCAGGGCAGCATGGTGGCCAACTTCATCAATATCTATCAGCAGGAGGGCACGAGGGGCCTGTGGCGGGTACGTACTGTGTGGGAGGGGTTGCTGTGTGGTGGGTGTGAGGGTGCCTGTGGGGCTGTGAGGGTGGGGGGTGAATGTGTGCAAGGACTTTGTGTGTGTGGGGGTGAGAGTGTGTGAGGCAGGGTGTGTGTTGGCGGGGTGAGGATGGGGCTGTGTGTGTGATGGTGTGTGGGTGGTGCTGGTGTGTATGAGGGGGTGTTGGGGTAGGGCTGTCTGTGTTTGGGAGCAGCTGTGTGTATGTGATGATGTGTGAGGGGGCAGGGTGAGGGGGTGTGGGGGGGTATAAGCTGGGGAGTGAGGGAGGGGGCAGGTTGGGGGAGGTGAGGCGGGCAAGCTGGGGGTTGAGGTTGGGGGAAAGACCGAGGCTCAGGCGGATTATGTGGCTTCCCCAGGGGGTAATGCTGACGGCACAGCGAGCAGCTATTGTGGTAGGGGTGGAGCTGCCGGTGTACGACATCACCAAGAAACATCTGATACTCTCCAGCTCCCTGGGCGACAACATTGCCACACACTTCATGTAAGTCTTCACATCCCCCCCCTCACACACACACACATCCCCACACACACACACATCTCCTCACACCCACACATACGCACACACACCCTCACACCCACACACACATCCCCTCACACACACACACACACACATCCCCCCCACCCACACACACATATCCCCTCACACACACACACACACATCCCCCCCACACACACACACATATCCCCTCACACACACACACACGCGCGCACACGCGCGCACACACACCCTCACACCCACACTCACACACATCCCCTCACACACACATCCTCACACACACACATCCCCTCACACCCACACATCCCCTCATACACACCCTCACACCCTCACACCCACACCCACACACATCCCCTCACACACACACACATACACATCGCCCCCCCACACACACACATCCCCTCACACGCACACACACATCCCCTTACACACACACCCTCACACCCTCACACAGCTCCCTCACACACACCCTCACACACATCCCCTCACACACACACCCTCACACAGCCCCCTCACACACACACCCTCACACCCATCCCCTCACACATCTTCCCACATACACCCACACACCCCCTCTCGCACACACCCCCTCTTGCACACCTCCTCACACACACCCTCACGCACACACCCTAACACACACCCTAACACACACACCCTCACCCCACCCCCCCATCAAATGCCCTCTCACCCCATCATGTGTACCCTCAGCCCTCCTCACACCCACCTCTCATTCCCATGCCCTCTGGCCCTGCACTCGCACCCCGCCCCTCCCCACTGATGATTGCTCTGTGTTTAGCTCCAGTTTCACGTGTGGTCTGGCCGGAGCTCTAGCCTCCAACCCAGTTGATGTGGTGCGGACACGGATGATGAACCAGAAAGTATCAATGGACAGTCACCTCCTGTACGGGGGAACACTGGACGGGCTCCTCAAGGTACCCCCCTCCCCCAGCGAGGTCTCTTCCTGGTATGATTGACATATAACATGACATCATACATGGAGACCTGTAGTGTAGTGGTAAGAGCTCGCCTCACAGGAGAGAGACTTGGGTTCAATTCCTGGGCAGAGCAACACCTTAGATAAGTTTCCTTACTCCACATTGCCTCTGTTTACCCAGGAGTAAGTAGGAACCTGGTTGTTAGTCGATTGGCGGATTATTTTCCAGGGGTAATAATCCCTCCAAAATAATAATAATTTGGTCACTCAATTCATTGTCTATTTGCGGGACACTGCTGTGCGCAATTGGCTGCCACGTATTCTGTGAAGCGCTTTGAGACGTCTTGAAGACGTGATAAGGCGCTGTATCAAATGCAAGGATTATTATTACTATTTTTATTATATGTTCACAGATCTGGAGGAGTGAAGGCTTTTTGGCGTTATATAAAGGCTTCTGGCCCAACTGGCTCCGCCTGGGCCCCTGGAATATAATCGTATCCTTTTCACACCCGCATTCCCCCTCCCACCACAAGTTCCCTTCCCACACTTGGCTCCCTCCCCCCCGCCGCAGAGTTGAAATGCAGTTTCTCACAGTCGATGAGTGTTTACCTTAATCCATATCTCAGTTTTTCATTACTTATGAACAGCTGAAAAGGATTCCTTTGTAGCAGCTGCTGATCGTGCAGTGACAGCCCGACCCAAGCCACATCCTTGCCATTTGCACTGTTCTTGTTTGGCCATTTGTTAGTGCCTTTGCTTGGTTGCTGTTGCGCTGGAGCGAGGCTGCGCTGGAGCGAGCTGCCCGGCTGTGTACTGCACAGGGAGGATCAATGCGTCCAGCAGCGCCGACATCCTGTCCTTTGTTTGGAATCGCTCAGAGATTGTAATGACTTTTCCTTTCCATGTCCGAGCTTGCTGTCTCCAGCACCAGGCCCAGGCTTCTCGCATCACCTCTGCTCTGTGAGGAGCTGTTTGTGAAATAATCTATGAACTGAGGTGCTGAGCTCTGTACCAAGGCCTGTGTGTAAGCTATGGGGAGCTCCCATCATTGTGCACAATGTTGTGCTGCTTTTACTCCAGGCTCACTCCTGTATTTGTTCACTCCGGAAGGTCAGTGGGGGTTTGCTGATGTGCCTGCGTTGTGGTGAAAATTCTCAGAAGATCATTTTATTCTGTGAATTCATCTTTGTTACATTTTTTAAAACTCAAAAGAACCAAAAGCTCACTTTTAAAATCACAGAATTTGAACCAAATTCAAAATCAGAATTGTCACATTTCCTGAAGTATTTTATTGTTTGAGGTTAAATGTCTAGTGGAGCGAGTGCTTGAGATGCGTCCAGCTGCTACTACAAGATTATATCCATCTTGAACACTGGCCAACCAGTGGGACACGGTGTAAATGCCCCCACGGCTAAGAGAAGACATTGAGGAAATTGATTGGAAGATACAAGGGGCATTCGTGCTGTTGTTGACTCAGTGGTACCTCATGATCGTGGTTGTCATGAACCTCAGCCTGGACCCTGTCCTGAGGGACCATGCTGAGCTGGGACAAAGGGCTCTCTGGTCAGTCAGGGTCATCCCTCTTCAAGGACAGCAAAATTCCGATGCAGGTCAAGCTTGTAAACAATCCTCCTTTATAGATCCGAGCTCCTGGGGATGCAATAGAGATGTTTCCTTTAACCCAGCTGCAAAGTCCAGGATCAGCAGTGAGGTGGGTTTGTGGCAAACACGGGAAGCAGCTGCAGGAGGGAGGGCTCTGGCCTACACTGACCTGCTACTAATCACTGGAGGTGGCTTCATTTATTTATTTGCCAAGGCCCGTCACATGAGGACCTGGATGGAGCAGCTGGTGCTAAGTAAGCCAGGTACATGGCAATGGACTTGGACCTCGAGAACATCAAGGTGTTTGGCACATCACAAACTGACCTGCAAAGCTCCTCCCACCACACTGAAGGCAGATGTCTATCAGATAGCTGATGAGGAAAATCTGAGGCTTGGGGCAACAGCTGCTGGAAGGCGTTCCTTGGAGTCTGAGTTTGTGAACACCTGTTCATACGTCCAAGCACCTGGAACCCACTGTGATTGGCTGCAGAGAGGCCAGGAGTTGCTGCTTAAACTCTACACCTCCGTCTGGTGGAACTATCACTCAGTGGGAAGTGATGTGTGCCTGAGCTGTGGATAGGAAAATGGTGGCAATGCTCAGGCTTTTCATGTTGAGCTGTATTGCTCACCGGGGCTCACAGGGAGTTCCTGGTACCTCTCATCCACCTGGTGAGGCCCAAACCTGCACTTGTCAGATATTGAACATTCAACTAGTGACTCTCCTTGAGGGTGAGGTAAGTGGGGTCTCTGGAGCTGAACCAGCTCTGAAGTGATATATTTGGCTACAGAATGTCAGGCCTGGCTCGATTCTCTGTGATGGTATCTAGTCCAGTGCCTGGGCCAGGTGGGTCTGCAATATTCCAGGGCACTGCTGATGGCAGCACAGGCCAGCCTGGCTCATCAGCAGGACCTGGAATGTCAGACCAGTCGCTGGTGGCAGGGAGTCATCCCACTCAGCTCTTGTTATCCCAGTCCTAACTGGATAAGCAGCGGGAAAGCTTGCTGGACAATGCTCTCATTGACAAGCTATGCAGATTTAGCTGGTTATACTCCAGCAGTTACCCCAACACACTCTATGGTCCCCCCAAATCTTGGCTCTTGCCAACCTGTGCCTGATACTTTCCAAAATTAGGTAACCAGGATGTGTCCCTCCAGGGAGAGAGAGAGCGCATTCTATTTTAACAATCTATCTCTGGGATTTCCACGTGGAGTTGGGATACATGGAATTCTCAGTTTGGTTTCTTCATGTGTCAGACGCCCGGCTGGCCAAAAAACAATCATGTTCAGTCAGTCATTTCTCTTTCCCCTAAACAGATTAATATATGAAGTGTGTTGGGAGGTGATGCTAGTGGGGTGGTCTGGGTGAGATGATCAATATTTATGACATTTTACATTAAATGAGAGAAAAGGATACAAATTTCTCAATTTGTTTTTTAAAAATTCAAAAAGTTCATAGAAGAATCATAGAATTATACAGTGTAGAAGGAGGCCATTCAACCCATCGTGTCTGTGACGACTTTGAAAAGAGCTTCTAAATCAACCCCACTCTCTCCCCACAGCCCTGATCAACCCCACTCCCCACTCTCTCCCCATAGCCCTGATCAACCCCACTCCCCACTCTCTCCCCATAGCCCTGATCAACCCCACTCCCCACTCTCTCCCCATAGCCCTGATCAACCCCACTCCCCATAGCCCGCAAACTTGTTCTCCCCAAATAATTATCTGCTCTCTTAAACGTTGTTATTGAATCGGCTTCCATCACCCTTTCAGGCAATGCATTCCAGATCCCAACAACTCACTGTGTAAAAAAAATGTCTCCTCCCCTCCTCTGGTTTTTTAACAAATATTTGAACTCAGTATCCTCGTTTACCGACTCACCGCCAGTGGGAATAGTTTCTCCGTGTTCACCCTATCAAATCCCTTCATAATTTTGAAAACTTCTATTAAGTCTCCTCTTAACCTTCTCTGCCCCAAGGAGAATAACCCTCACTTCTCTCGCCTCTCCTGATAACTGAAGTCCCTCATTCCTGGTACCATCCTGGGAAATCTCCTCTGCACTCTCTCCAATGCCTTGACATCCTTCCTAAAGTGTGGGGCCCAGAACTGAACCCAGTCTCGAGCTGAGGCCTCACCAGTGTTTTATACAAAGGTTCATCATAACAGTTAAGTTAATAAATGTTTGTTCCCTGGTCAGAACGTTTCCTCTTCCTCTTGGTGCTGAGCGAGTGACACTGTGTGTGAGTGCGAGTGAAAGGCACTCACACACACAATCACAAACATTTGCAAACTGAGGTTGTGTGAGATTGATGTGAGTGTGTGTGGAGATAGTGGGCAGAAACAATTGCACTTACACCGTGTGTGTGACTCGCTGTATGAGCAGCTGCAGCCGCTAACACTCAGGTTTGTGACCGCACCACAAAGGTCAAAGCCACAAAACTCCAGGTCAACCTGTTGGTTTCTTGAATTTTAAATAAAATGTAAACTGTTCACATGAGGTTTCTGTCTGTTTAGCTACAGTCACTACAGTGCAACCTACAAACCGCATAGTGCCCCCCCCCACAGCCCCCCACACAGCCCCCCCACACACACAGCCCCCCCCCACACACACAGCCCCCCACACACACACAGCCCCCCACCCACACACACACAGCCCCCCCCACAGCCCCCCCCCACACACAGCCCCCCCACACACACAGCCACCCCCCACACACAGACCCCCCTCCCACACAGACCCCCCCACTTACCACACAGACCCCCTTCCCCCCACACAGACCCCACCTCCCACACAGAACCCCCCCACACACAGCCCCCCACAGCTCACCCACAGTCTCCTCAACACATAGCCCCCAACAAATACACAGACCTCCCAACACACAGCCCCACTCAACACGCTCCACCCACACACATCCCCCACAAATAGCCCCCACACACAACAACAACAAATTACATTTATAGAGCGCCTTTCACATTGGGAGGAAATCCCAATACACTGGACAGTCAGGTGTTGGGGCCCGAGCATGGGGGAGGGGTGGGGTAGGGGGGAGGGGTGTGTAGGGGGGAGGGGTGGGGTGGAGGGAAGGCAGAGAAGTGGGAGGGAGACCAAAGGCACGGTCGAAGAGAAGGGTCTTGAGACCGGCCTTGAAGGAGGCGAGGGGAGGAAGCGAGGCCAAGGGACCGTGGGATGGAGTTCCAGAGTGTGGGGGCAGAGAGGCTGAAAGCTCGGCCACCGATGGTAGGACGGGTCGGGCGGGAGACATGGAGCAGCCGGAGCCTGATGAACGGAGGGAGGGGCAGGTTGGTAGGGAGTCAGCAGGTCAGAGAGGTAGGAGGGGGCAAGGCCATGGATGGCCTTAAAGGTGAGGACGAGGATCTTGAACTCGATCCTCTGGGGGATGAGGAGTCAGTGGAGTCGGGCGAGGGTGGGAGTGATGGGGTCGCGGAGCCTGGTGTGTGAGAGTACATGAGCTGCAGAGTTTTGGATGATCTGCAGTTTGTGAAGGGAAGAGTTGGGAAGGCCGATGAGGAGGGAGTTCCCGTAATTGAGCCTTGAGGTGACGAATGTGTGGGTGAGGGTTTGGGCAGCCTGAGGGGTGAGGCAGTGGCGGAGTCTGGTAATGTTGCGGAGGTGGTGGTAGGCAGTGCCGGTCATGGCGCGGATGTGGGGGAGAAAGGACAGTTCAGGGTCAAACAAGACACCGGTTCCTGACCGGCTCAGTGAGGTCGAGTGTGCAGCCATGGAGGCTGATGCTGCCAATGCCTGGGGTGCGGAGGTGCTGGCGCGAGCCAATCAGGAGGGCCTCGGTCTTGCTGAAGTTGAGTTGGAGAAAGTTGTCCCTCGTCCGGATTTGATGTCGGCCAGGCGGTCGGTCAGGACACCAGTATGCGGATGTGAAAATTTACCCCATGTCTGCGGATGATGTCACCAAGGGGGAGCATGTAGATGGTGAAGAGGAGGGGACCGAGGACAGAGCCCTGAGGAACACCGCATGAGACGGTGCGGAGGCTGGAAGAGAAGCCATTTGCAGAGACAAAGTGAAGGTGGTGTGAAAGGTTGGACCTGAACCAGTCAAGGACAGAACCTTGAAGGTTGAGGAGGGAGGAGAGGCGGCGGAGGAGGAGGAGTGAGTGGTCCACAGTGTCAAAGGCGGCGGAGAGGTCGAGGAGGACGAGGAGTCAGGATGGTCACACACAGTCAGGATATCGTTTGTGACCTTGACCTGTGCTGTGCTGTGAGCAGCACCAAAACCCGATTGGAGGGGCTCATGGAGGGAGTGGGAAGAGAGGAAAGAGCGAAGTTGGGAGGCAACGTTTCTCTCAAGGACCTTGGAGGGAAAAGGAAGGTTGGAGATGGGCCGGTAGCTGGATAACTGTGATGGGTCAAGGGAAGGTTTCTTCAAGGTGGGGGTGATAGTGATAGTGGCTGTTTTGAGGGGGTAAGAACAGTGCCAGATGACAGGGAGAGGTTGATGATGTTGACGAGTAGTGGGGCAAGGAGGTGGAGCTGGGATTTAAGGAGTGGGGTTGGGGTCCAGGGAGCAGGTGGTGAGCTTCATGGAGAATATGGTGGTGATGATAGAGGAGGGCGTGACGAGTTCAAAGGTGTGGAAGGAGGGATGGGTAGTGTTCAGAGTGGTGGGGGTGGGGGGTGTAGGGAGGGAGTGGAAGTTGGGAGTGCAGTGGCAGCTGAGCGAATTCTCTCGATTTTGGACTCGATGGAAGTCCAGCATTTCCTCGCAGTGGGAGTCGGAGGAAAGAATCTGTGAGGCATGTCGGGGAGGGCTGAGGAGCCGGTTGGTGGTGGAGAACAGGAGCCTGGGGTTGCCCTTCGCCTCCAGGAATAGAAGGACGATTTGGCCGAGGCGAGAGCGGAGTGGTAGATTTTGATGTGGACCACCAGATGAGCCAGTGGACCGTTAGGCCGGAGTTGAGGCAGCCGCACCTGGCCCTTGAGTGAGTGGAGGTGGCTGGTAAGCCAGGGTCAGGATCGGGAATAGGAAGCAGTTCGGGAGGTGAGGGGGTGCAAGGGCGTCGAGTGTGGTGGAGAGGGTGCTGTGGAGGATAGTAAACGCAGAGGATGAGTTGGTGCGGGAGGTGGGCCAGAGTGGGAGGAGTTCAGAGGACTCCAGGGCAATGGAGAGGGATTGTGAGCGGTAGAAGTTGGTAGTAGGTATGGAAGCAGTGGGGAGAGGAATATGGGAGTTGGGGGAGATAAAATGGTGGTCAGAGAGGGCCTTGTTGGTGATTGGAGTCCTGTAGCTCAGTGGTTAGAGCACTCGCTTTGCAAGTGAGAGACCTGAGTTCAATTCCAGGCAGAGGGCCAAACCTCGGGCAAGTTTCCTTACTCCACACAGAGCCTAATAATAACCCTCCAAAACCAAAACAATAATAAATTGGTCATTTTCAATCTACGACTGTTTGTGGGACATTGCTGTGTGCAATTGGCTGCCGCGTTCGCCCACAAATATACAGTCACTTCACTTTACAGTGTGTTCTGTGAAGCGCTTTGGGACGTCCTCCCGACGTGAAAAGTGCTATATCACAGGCCCCCTCCAAACACAGACAACCCCACAGACAAAACATAGCCACACAGCATCCCCCACACACAGCCCTCACAGTACACAGTCTACCCACACAGACCTCCCCACAAAGAACCCCAGATCATATAACCACCACCCACATAGCTCCCACTCCGCACACCGCCCCCAACATGCAGCCCCTCCACACAGCACCCCAACACCCAGCCCCCACCCCAACACACACGCTCCACAATACACAGCGACAGACCGCGCCCCAACATACAGCCCCCACACACATAGCCCCCCCCACCACACACAGCACCCCCACACTGCCCCTCAACACACAGAGCCCCCACATATAGCACCCCCCACCCCCCCACCACCAGATACAGCTCCCCCCCATACTGGCCCCTAACACACAGCCCCCACCACACAATCCCCACCCACACAGCTTCCCCAACACACAGCCCCATCCCACCCAGCACCCATCACACCGTCCCCCGCACAGACCTCCTCGCACAGAGCCCCAGATCACAAAGCGACCCCACAGCTCCACTCCCCATACAGACCCCCAACACTCAGTCCACCCAACATGCAGCCCCTCTACACAGCACCCCCAACACACAGCCCCACAACACACAAACAGCGACACAGCACCGCAACACACACACCCCCCAACACACTGCGCCCCCCCAACACACTGCCCCCCAACACACAGCCCCCCCACCACACACAGCCCCCCCAATCTTCCCGTCATTCAGAACTCTGCAGCTCGTGTACTGTCCCGCACCAGACACCGCGACCACATCACTCCCACCCTTACCCTCGTCCTCACCCTCACCCTCGCTCGCCTCCACTGGCTCCCCATCCCCCAGAGGATCGATTTCAAGATCCT